ATTATGAAGAAGGGAAAGAAGGTAGGGAGCAATTAGGAAGGAAGAAAACGACGGCGCACGCGACCTTGAAGCCAGCTGCTGAGGATGATTTTCATGGGCGGCACGGAATAGGTTCGTTTTGGCAACTTTTTATTCGGTATGTTTCTTTCAAACGGCCATGACTCATCTCCAAATGAATTTAGGAACCTAAAACCATGCATTTTCATAAAGAGGATGAAATGAACTTTCTTTTAGTACTTTTTTCGACTCTGTAGCCCAAACCGTTCAGGAGATTTTCTCATTTTTATTCAGGGGCAAAAACATTTGGCCCACCCTGTATGTACTCGCTCCTGCGGACGCGGGAGGGGCACATGCATATTTTGCCCTTCTTTCAGACTATGAATCCTAGGAGAACTCTGGCATTGTAAGACTGCCGTCGAGCCGTAAGAGAGAATACCCGTGCCATTATGGCTTGGGCCAACGAATATCAGACAATGCCTTAGGGAAGAAGTGTCTGATTCTGCTTGTGGAGAAGGTGGTGATCGAGACCGAAGAGCGCTTAGCCACTTAATATAATATAATGTAACTCACCGTACAGGTCGATGTACCCTTCCCCCGCTGCGAGGTTCTCCAACATGAGTACGAAGGACTCCTTTGTGAAGTTTCTGATTTCGTTGCCCCATAACTCGATTCTGGTCTCTGCCATGAAACCTGTAATGAAGATGGAGGAGATGCTTCACTACCCTCTGGCTTGACTCCCCTGTTGGACTTTCAAGGGATAATGAATACCTGCAAATGTATTCTTACTTCTCAATTCCTTAGTAGAGGAATTTACCTGTGATGGCATGGGATTCCAAGCTTGAAATGTTGTTACCTCCAAGAGACACATATCGCAAGGCTTAACTGTGGAACTCCAACGTCCTATTGAACAGAGTCGGCCCCAGGTTGCAGTTGTTACAAGAGAATAGCCATAATTTCTCCAAGTTCTCGAAGAATCCGTGCTCGACTTCCGTGATTATCTGCCCGGGATGGAATCAATTCAATGAAAAATCCATCACGTAACTTCAAGAAGAAAATGTTCTATGATGACGAGGAGTTTATAGAGATGGCGGGATCGATTAATGTTCTCTTTCGTACTTTCATAATGCCTCCTTCGCGCGTAGGAAATTAGCTACTCCATTACTTTCAACGGGAAGAAATCATACCAAGTAGCCGCACTTCATGATTGGGGGTAAGAATGCATTCGACTCTCAATGAACAACTGTGAGTTCTTGGAAGTTTTCCATTATGCTGGCGATCGTCTATCCTGCGATAACTTAGCCAAGACACGTGCATTTCGAGATGTGCGCGTCATCATACTTAAGGGCGAACTAATTCCTTCACTCTACGTCTATGGAAACCGGCTGATGACCGCAATATATCCTCGAAATCATTGAGTCCAAGACGATGGCACTCACCCACTACGAGAGCCGTCAGGTTCGGCGTTGACCACCCAACAGTGAGCCTTGCTATCTTATTGCCCCCGAGGGAGAGCCTCTCCAGACTGGGGCTTTCGACGGGCGGCAAATCGAGCAAGAAATTCTCTCCAAGGTCGAGATGGACGAGGCCGGGCATATCGGGCAGGATGTCCCATGGAAATTCCCTCAGTTCGCCTGCCAGGATCTCCGGCCGGCGAAGCTGTTCTTTCGAGGAACGGAGGGCGGAGCGATGAATGGATCCCACTTGTGTGTGCAATAGGATTGTCCTTTCGAAGGAAACATTGCCAAACACGCCCGGCGGGAACTCTTCCACGGCCTTGTTCCCAAACAGCGTGAAATCGCTGGAAACAGGCATACGTTTTATGGAAAACATCTTGATTTTGATCGACCTTCGGCCAGTGTTCCGGCTTGATCTCTTGTCATCCCCGGAATTTTATGAGTTTGATTGAGGCTAAGAGATGTTTGGCACTGGAATTTCGTGTTGAGTACCTTAAAATCGATTCATTGATGAAGATTGTGAACACGGGTGAAACAAAACCGAGCTGGTAGCATCCCGGTAAAAAAAAATGTTCGTTGGATTATCGTCGGGCCATAGCTGGGGAAGCTGGCTCATCTTCGGCGAATGATTAAGACAACCAACTCACACTCTTGTCGTAATGCGGCCGAGAAGATTCCAAAAACCGTCGAGAGATGAAGTCAAAGTGTTCCTCGTATCGTATTGAGCGATGTGTCGCTTGTAGTGAGACTCGTGCCTTCGTAGGCGTCGATTGCTTGCTAGTCTTATCTTTATACACTCTAAAGTTATTCCAGGGGAAATATAGGTATATACTATAGGCAGGAGGTGATAAGTTTATTTCAGTTCATGATTTTTTGGATCCCACCAGCGTAGTATTTCAATAGGTCTGCGGAAAAAGTTAGTAAAAGTGAGGAAATCCAGGAATGCAAGAGGGGTGGCTTTTGACTCACAGTTCAACTCACCTGAGTTGCCAATAGGGCCAAACGGCATCATTGAAAGTCGAGAAAATTTCGTCGCTCGAGCTTGCACGCGAATAGTCCACAGACGAAAGGCCGGAACCTTTGAGGTGGAAGCAGGCGCAGGGTAGAATGTCACTTGGATCGGGACAAGGAGGCGGGTTTCCCCGCTCGTCCCGAGGGCGAAGAGGAAGAAGGGAAGGGAGAGGAACGCGATGCATCGCTGCATCTTGGAGGTGAGTGGGTGGGAGGTGCTGAAAAGATGGGGATGGGAGTGGATACGCACCGGTTTAGATGGATAATGCTCATTTTGAAGTCCGTGCGTTTCAAGTGGGAGAGAACACTTGACGTACCCCAAATAGGGGAAAGATGAAAGCTTTTGCTTAAAGAAGATTCGAGAGTGAGTTAACAAACGGACAGTAGACTCTTACGGGGTTGATCAAAGCAAATACCAGACGCTGGGAAGTTGATCGACCAGTTTCTCTTTGAAGGCAGAAATTGGACAATGGGTAGTCTTCTAAGGAATCCAGTATCAGCTATTACGAGAACTGATTGGAGGGCCGGATCGGTGGGAAAGAGAACGACCGCTTCAAAAACGCATTCGGTGCTCAGATACTTCTACGTTGCAGCGATCTGCAATCCATGGTGCCCAATCAAGGATGATACCAGAAAATTCTCTTTCTTTTTTAAGTTATGCTAATCAGATTTGTAACTAGATGAGTCGTCTACTACCACTGGTCCTGGTGGTTCGAATGTAATTTCGAGCAATGGAGCACATCAAGTTGTTTGGACGGACGATGAAAACACTTGTTTCACAACGCTCCTAAAGGATATTTAGGACTGGCCGAAGAAATGCGCGATACAGCTGCTGTTGCATATCTGCCGCACTTTTCTGCTCTGTTTCGGATTAGGGTCCTTCCAGATCGTGGCCTCCATTACGCTCGATATCGACACGTCCACTGTGTGTCGCGTCATTCGACGAGCGTTGTCGATGCAAACGCTCAGCGTCTTCAAACCCCGTCGTTCCTTAGTAGAACTTTCGCACGCACTTGTGAACATTGCTTCTTGGAATTCTTGCGTTCTCCTTCTAATGTCCTGCCCGCGTCTTTGATGAATTTCGGTGCCGCTCACGCCTTTTTCGCCCATGAAACGGATCACAGGACGCATCTCTTCTTTGGTGCAATCAAGCCACCATTTGTCATGCCCGTGGGAGGCTCACGGGATGATAGGAAAGTCATATGACACGGTATTCGCGGCGCTCATATTATAACCAGTGCGAAATACTTTGCTACTTGTATTTCTACGTCACGATTGCAGGTGTACTTTTACTTTTTGACTCACACTCGTACTTTCATGGGCATTGAAAAAAATATCCAATTTCAAACTTTGCCGAAGGGAAGGACACTTTTTCGAGTTAATGATGTACGCTATCGGAGTCGCTAATTCCCCTCAGGAAGCGCTAATGTAAGTTAACTAATTCACCTTTAAATGGTTTATGCAATGGTTCACTTTCCTATATCTTCTTGTTCACATACGCTGAAGGCCACTGCTTTGTATTACCGCGGGGGGTTAGTTCCTTTCCATCACATTCTCCATCCGTAGCACGGAATAATGAAATGAAGAACCGTAATCCATTAAAACAAAGCATTATCGACGTACTAAAATACGAGTGCTGGCCTTAGTTTTTGGGCAGGTATGAACCCTTTCCTACTGAATAAATGTCGAAGAGTAATAAAATATAAATATGAAGTCAGCATAAGTACGGACATGATATGAAAGTTGGATCACTTATATCTAAAAAACTTTACGATCTTCTTAGCATGCCTGCGTCACTAATGTTGTATTTAATGTAAAGAAAGAAAGAAGATGTCTATATTTCTATTTTTCCATAAATGCGATTTTTCAACAATTGAAACATTTTTCCAATTACAGCTACTGGTAGTCAGTTCAGATTATTCACTATCACTGTGTCGTTTTGAGGGCTGACTGAAACATCAAATGAAATACACGGAAGTGCCATCTATGCAAAGTTATACATACATTCCCATTTTCAAGAAATACAGGAGTCAGCTTAAAGCGTGACAGCATCAAGGGAGTGTGCCCTGAACTGTTCGGGCGCCAACGTCGAAATCCCGCGCTGTGCCTCATGCAAGGTTGATAGAAACGTTAGTAGACATGATATGTACACGGCAAAAAAAATACGTCACTCAAACACTTTTAGGACTCGGAGGAGCGACCCAAGGCGCACGTCGTCGTCATTCTTTGCACAGGCACGTGACATTGGCCAGACACTTTAAGGTTCACTCTTTTATGTGAACGAGAACTGGTAGGCTCCGTCTCTGGCTGTCGTGCTCTCTGCCAGTGTATTCGGCGAAGGAGGGTGGGTTCCCTCTCTGGCTGGCATTCACGCTTCCGAGAGTGCCGGTTGCACTGACCTGCGCCAACCTCACTTAGGATGAGCCGCTGTATTTCCAAAATGATTCCACATATTTTGATATAACTTTCCATGCATACCCTGCCGAGAAAACTCATGACAAACTCAAGGTCTCATGTGGTCTCACGACATTCTCATGAGATTCGCGAGTATCTCATGAGGTAATCCTCCTGTTGCAATCCTCATGAGGTTATAGGAGTACTAACATGGTCTCACGCCCTTCTCCATGAGGATTGAGTGGTAGCTCGTGAGGCTTTGAAACGTCCTCAAGAGGATCGAGGCCCCATTACCTCTTGAGCCGTTTGTTCGAAAACTTCATGAGAACCTCTTTTTTTCTGCAGTGCATAACCGACAGGACATGGCGACGATATAGCTTTTTTGATAATTATCCTCCTGTTCTCANACGATATAGCTTTTTTGATAATTATCCTCCTGTTCTCACTGGAGCATCTCTCCTGTACTCTCCCATCTGTAAGCATTAATATTTCAAAACCATTGAATGCCATGAGCATGCCATGATCACGCCTCCAGCACTATATTATCTAGTATAAAATTAGTTCACTTGAAATATTCAAATATTCATAATCGTGAGGAGACGTAACATAAATTTGATTTAATTGAAATCATTACTCCATTAATCTATTGTGTGAGTAACTTCAGACCTCTTCATGTGCCCTCATTGTTCAGAGCGAAAAATGAATATTGATATACTTCCCGCCCCCTATAAACCGCTTTGAGGGGACATGTCTCAAAAATATAATATTTTCTGTACTCAATATCCGACAGGTACTTCTTCTCAAAGTTTCAACTTTCTACCGTTCTCTGTTTCGTTGGATCAAAACATATAGAGAATGGTCCTCGGGCAGAAACACTCACAAAAAAAATTCAGAATTACGCTTTGAACAATTCAGGTCACTTGCGTACTTCCGGCAATGGATCGAAGAAAGAGGTTTCTTGGTTCTCAGTGGATTGAGAATCTTTGTATATGGGAGAAAATACCTTACTTGAGGCATTCAAGCTTAGCCGAACCAGATACAGGGACAATCGATTGGCCCAACACCATAACTTTGTGTCCCCAGGGTCTTTCTTCAAAGTGAATCTGAAACTTTCCAATTCGTTTCTTATGACTTCCTGGCGTCGGCTGCAAATCGCCCCATCCTTGGCATGCTCGAAAGAAGCATTACAGTTTCTAGTTAGATCATGGCATGGGGTATATTATTTGCATTCCAGGTCTAGGACCTAATACCGAGGTTCAACTGACCAACAACAAAATTGTTGTCTTGTCTGAGGAGAGTTTCCGCCCAATATTGGACATCCTCTCGAAGGGAGATGGAGTCCTCACGCTACCAGGTGAATTTCACGATTTCTTACCATGTTATCATATTCATCCGTCACTTCGTTACACTGCTTCTTTGCTATTTCCGTCGTGTCCCTATTCCAGGCAATCCTATCCGATGCGATTGTGACATAGCATGGCTGGTTCTCAATCAGAAATTTCTTACGAGTATTTCTGGGAATTGCCACAATGGAACTGAATTCAAGGATTTGGATGTTTTGGCTATGAAAGACTGTGGTCGTCAATCGAACGTTTCAGCAATCGCAATTCAAGGTAACGTCTCGAGTTGTATTCTTTAAAGCTATATGGTTTATATATGGTTTCCCAACTTCTGGTTCTATGCCAAGCTATGAGTGAAATGGAAGGTTCGGGCTTTTTTTCGATGATCTGGATAACCTCATTTCCATGCCTTGAAGACGGTCTTCAATACGAGAAAATTTGACCTGAGTTCCAATGAAGGTTCCCACAGATGTGGATAGAGAGTTGGGACAACTCCGTCTGAGCCTTCATGACCTGTCATTGGAAGATTCCATTCCCGCGATTTATGGACATCACACTGACTCTACCGCTTTGCCTCGCTGCCCCCAGATGCAGTCGAACGGAGTTTTTTTAATTTTATTTTAAAGCTGGAGTTTCAATGAAACTCCAGCTTTAAAATAAATAAAAATTTGGGGAGCAAACACTGCGATGAAGCATTTCGGATTGAATTTCTGGATTCACCTTCAGTGCAGACTTATGACGAAAAAAGAGATGTATACAGATATTCCCTTAGCTCTCTCTATTTTATGCTGACTGGAGAAACGATTGATCTAGTTGAGTACGAAATTCATTCCAAATTCATGAGTGAAGAAGCATTTAAGAAACGCGAGCTCATTCGTCACTTTTCAATATATATTTTTAAAGTATTGTTGGTAACCGATGAGATTTCAGCAGGAACCGAGAGGAAGAGCACATTAAGTTTCATTGGAATTACATTTTCGTATAGGACATGCTTTGCTACGTTTACTAAGGAAGCTGCATGACCTACTGTCGACTTTTTGGAAGGTCACGCGAAACTGTATTCAAGGGAGAGTCCGTTTTCCACTGGCATGGACTGGCCTGTGACGTTCATATCCTATTAGGGTAATATACATTAAGTTGCAAAAGTCCCTTCCCCTCGCATGAGTCAATTTTCTGGAAGCATATCTCTGGAAATTTCTGGAGAGATTTTTCATTGTTAGCTTCAGTGTCATGGGCCTAGTTGGCTGTCATTCGTTCGAGAGAATTATGGATGGCCCTAATTACGTTCAAATCCTTCGAGAACACCTCCTCCGTAGTGCCAGAAAGCAGTTCGGTCGATGCTCGCAATTGGAGCAAGGCAACGATCCCCAATAGGAATCTAGTGACGAAGCAGTTCCTATTCGAGGACGTACCCGAAACGATCGACCGGCCGTCGAACTCTCCCGACGTCAATCCGAACGAGAACCTCTGGTCGATTCTCAAACAGCGTGTCGAGATGCGGAAACCTCGACGAATTGGACAGAATTCTGCTGGAAGAATGGGACAGAATCGAGATGGGCACGTTGTATCATATGGTGGAATCGATGAGAGCGTAATGCTTAGCTATGATTGATTCGAAAGGAGAGAGGATCAACCTTTGATTGTGTTACTTGTGTACCTTGTCCCATTCCTTACCTTTCAATGAAACTGATTTTGATATTTTGATAACCCACCCTGAGAATTACTTTTGGACTTTTGGCAAAGACTTTTGCATCTTAGTGTAGATATTCGGATTTCATTGCAACTGGAAATAATTTCACCACGCAGACTCGTTTGAGATTATGTTTCTGTTATGAACTTCGGAATTGTCTTTCTATTCATAAAAAGTAGGATTTTACCTCTGATCTCCGTTAACATGTCCATTTTCCTCCAAGCTACCAAAAGTATCAATGTGCCTTCTTCATGCTAAAAAAGCGAGACATTCAGCCCTCAAACCATCTGAGTTATATAGAAATTGAATGCACTTCATGCATGATACGGCCGCATATTGAAACTTATTCACGGATTTTGTCCTGAAGAAAAGGGAAAATCCAAGGAATATCTGATTTCAAGAGACGAACATGATACCTTCTTGTCTTCCTGCGTTTCCTTTTTTTTCAACCGGAGCCTCATAGGGAACACGCTGCGATTCTTGTGGGAAAAGGAGAATGATCCAGTGTGGGGCATTTCCCCTCTGTAGACTTTCGCTTTCCCCCACGTGATATTTTTGGGCTGTTGAATTGGCAAGGTGAAAAAGTGCGAATGGGGCCCTACTGTATCCCATCGCGAATGAGGCAGTGACTGGGTTCTGCTATTTTTTTTAGCATTTCGGCATATGTATCTGCTATCTTTATCGTGCGACACGTACTCTTCTCTATAAAAATCATGCCTTCCAGCGTTGCCGCTCTCCGTCGCGGTTAGGAAGTGTTCCGGTCAGGTGCTTTCCGGCTGATGGAGTCAAAGTCAAGTTGGTTTGGAATATTTTGCAGGAAAATGATATGGGAATCCGAGAGACAATGACATCGTTTTATTGAAACGTCACTAGGGAGCGAGAGAAATGACACGGACCCGTGCTTCCCGAATCCTTGTGGGGCGCACGCGAAGTGTCGGGCCAGCGGCGGCCATCCCGTGTGCTCGTGCATCTACTACGGGAACCCCGAGACGAGCTGCTTCAAAGGTGTATGCGTCGGTGCGTCTTCCGCGATCTTGAGCGTTTCCTAAGGCGCGAAAGCGGTATATCATGCGTTGTTTTTCGCTTTCGCAGAGACTCAAGACTGCAGCGACGATCGAGTGTGCAAGGATTTCTACTGCACGGATCCGTGTCCAGGGACGTGCGGGAGTGGTGCCCAGTGCATCGTCCGGAGACACATCCCCGTCTGCACCTGCCCCGCGGGTCACACCGGCGATCCCTTCGAACGGTGTCGACGACTCGGCCCCGGTAACGTTTCACCGCATGCATCCGTTTCCCGTGTCTCCCGGGCGTTAATGAGACCGATTTCGTTCGTGAATCTCCAGAGGAGCTGTGCGATCCGTCGCCGTGCGGAAAAAACTCCAAGTGCGAGGTTGCATTCCATCTGGCCATCTGCTCCTGCCTTCCCCATTTCTTCGGGAACCCCGTCCAAGGGTGCAGGTGAGCCGTTTCTCCGTTTCCAGGAGGGGAATCGAACGAGGCCGGAAAGAACTCACGCTCCCGCCGCGAGGCGACGCGCGGTCCAGTGGGGCCCGTTACCTGCTTCCACTGTTCCCGTCATTTTTGTCGACCTCCTTCGGAAAACTTATGTTAGGAATCGTCCGAAACGTACGCGAAAGCATACCTCTTCTTCCGAAGATCGCATCGGAAGAAAAAGAAGAGGTGGATCTTCCCGTCGTCCACCACGCGGTGCACACTGACACACATTTTTATGGGGAGAGCGAACGTGATGAATTTAATGTGTAAAATGCTATGATTTCCAGAGCGGAGTGCGAAACGGATTCCGCCTGTGCACAGACACAAGAGTGTCGGCTGTACAAGTGCGTGAACCCTTGCACGGATGCGTGCGGGGAGAACGCGGAGTGTCGTGTGGAACATCACCGGGCCATCTGCTCCTGCCCCAAATGTACGTCGCAGACTTCACGTTCCGTAGTAGTATGCAGAGAATGTCGCCGATTTTGGGAGATATTTTGCACATGAAATCGCATGCATTTCGATGAGGATTTTCGCATCCCGTTCCTAACATGGGATTTCGAATTTTCGTTTTCATCTTTAAAAAAGAAGCCGACAAAAGCTTCTGGAAGGTGATTCATTTTTATTTTCTACATAATTAACTTTCGTCTCCGTTCAGATTTCCTGGGAGACCCTCTAATCCGATGCTACGCGGAATGTACGGTACACGAGGAGTGCGCCTATCACCAGGCGTGCGTTCACTTCAGATGCACGGACCCGTGCGTGGGGGCGTGCGGGATGAACGCAGAATGCCGCGTGGAAAACCACAAGCCCATCTGCTCTTGCCCGAAAGGTTTCACGGGTCATCCCTTCGATCACTGCAGGCCCTTAAATCCAGGTCTCTTCCTCTCTTTTTTAGTAGGCCTCCTTTCCTGAAAGGAAAGAAACCTCTTATAGCCCCATCCTGTCCCTCCGTGTGTCAATGTGTCCATGTTTCACCCTTTCGTTGTCGGATGATAACTAAACAATATTGGTCTGATCAATGCAAAAATTGGTAAACGGGTACATATGAACAAAATACAGGCTGAGTTCGTTTTGTGGTGAATTTCCACCAATATTAGCATATTTATTGCAAATTTTGGATTTCAAGTTCGCTAACGAAGGGAAAGCTATGAGAAACTACGAGTCCTTCAGGATGTAGATCACAATGCACATGCGCGTAAACCCCAGGCTTCGAACGCGGCGCCATGTCAGCAACCAGAGCTGTTAGTTCCCTACCAACTTTCGTGGCGGATGCATCCAACCACTCAAAGCCCTCCTTGCTCCCATCATCGTTTCATGGGCCCCGTTTGTCCAAGTTTACCAAATATAAATGAGAAATGAGGTTTTTTTATGGTCGAAGACCGGAAGGAGATATTTGTTCATTTTGTTCAATTAGGTAAAATATGAGGGTTTCTTTGACTGAAAGGAGGCCCACTACTGGACTGGGCTTGCCCAGTTTGTTCTTCTTCCCTCCCTCCCGTAGAGTGCGATCGTCGGTCGGAAAGTCGCACGCGAGAGTGGCGTTTCTGCGGTTCTCAGTTCGAGACCGTCACGGGGCATCCGGGACGCATAATATGAAACCTTACTCCTGTTCGAACACTGGGACCGGAACAGCCAATCAAACGCTCGCTAAATGTCATTATAGGAAAATGGCGACTTCCATGTTAATACAGGTTTCAGCTCTACCTGAAAAGCAGGGAGTTAATGTTTTTGAGTAGCTCTTGGTTGGACTTGGGTTTTCCCGCCGTACATCACCAG